TGTGTGTGTGTGTGTGTGTGTGTGTGTGTGTGTGTGTGTGTGTGTGTTTAAGTGTTTTGGATTGACTTTAAAGGTTTATTTTAATCTTGACCCTCAACATATCTGGGGAAGATTCCATCTGCTTTTACCCTTTTTCAAAATTCAGTCTCTTTCTCTCTCTCTCTCTCACTTTCTCTCTCTCTCTCTCTCTCAGGCTTAAAATACCACTGTGGGAGATTTACTGCTTTGGCCTCAAAACTCTATTTCCAAGAGTTTATCATGTGGTCTTATCTTTTCAGAGTTCTCGTGTCATCTTCATCTGTAAAACATGGATATGTGAGTTGAACTTCACCAATCTCTGAAATTCTAGTCTGTAGCTGCCTAATTAAAACAAAAATGCCATGGGAAGAGACAGACAAAGTTGTCATTTCTCTAATTCCTTTCAAACCAAAAAGGCCTTATAAAAGCATTCTCTAAGTGGATCACATGAAATGTCCCTGAGCAGAATGGAACCCCATGAAATGAGAGATAATTGCTACAAAACAATAAACTCAAATTACTTAGACTTTTGACGTTTTGCCTTTAATTGTACTTAAGCATACATTTCAGATAACTCCACAAGTCAGTTTTCTGGCAGAGAATTTTCTCCCCCTCTTCTTCCAGTATAACCTTGTCTGATACTGAGATAGCCTGATAGAGGAATTTAGAAAATGGTACCAAATGGTTTGGTGACTTAGCTCAGTGGTAGAGCATTTGCCTAGCAAGAGAGAGGTTCGGGATTCATTCCTCAACTCTAGAAGAGAGAGAGAATGAATCAAGAAAGAGAGCATCCCTGGTACGCAGGATAACTTCTCTGACTTCCACAGACTCGTACACACACGTAGTGCACATACATACACTCACACAGACAAAATAAATACTATAAAACAATGGTTTAGAACAGTAGTAAATAAATAGCAACACTTACAGCTACTGCAAGGAATACAAGTAATGCCTGAAGAGGGGTGAAAATCTGGTTTCCAATATTCTCAGTGTTCAATTTTCTTTTTTTCAAGACAAGGTTTCTCTATGTAGCCTTGACTGTCCTGGACTTGCTTTGTAGACCAGGCTGGCCTCGAACTCACAGAGATCCACCTGCCTTTGCTTCCTGAGTGCTGGGATTACAGTTGTGTGCCACCGTGCCCAGCTCTAGTGTCTTTTTCTTGAGAAAGATTTGTTAGGTGGGCTGTGCTGACTCATACCTTTAATACCAGCGCTTGGGAGGCAGAGGCAGGTGGATCTGTGAGTTCAAGGACAGCTTGATTTACAGCCTGAGTAACAGGACAGCCAGGGCTGCACAGAGAAACCCAGTGGAGGGGGGGGGATACCCACAATGTTTATTTAGTTTTAGGTTTGAGTGTGTGCCTGATAAGTTTATGTGCATGATGTTCACACAGGTGACCCCAGAGGCCAGAGGGTGTCAGATCCCCTGGAAATTGAGTTACAGACTCAATTTAACTCAATACTAACTGCCGAGCCATCTCTCTAGCCTATTGTGGACATCTTTATAAAGGAAACTATGTTAAAAGTTGACACAAAAATCCCATCAAGTGAAAATCCCTCAAAAATTTCTTTGGTCAGTATTAGATTGGAATGGATGTGCTCCAGAAAGCAAAGCATTCAAATATGTGGACACCTCTCTGCAGAAACACTGTGATCTTCAGGAGTGTTGCACAACACAAGAGCAACACACTACTAAGAAAAGCCACCTTAGGAAAGAAGGTATCTGGTCTGCAGCAGGAAAAAAAAATGTTTATGGAAACATTTATAGGTCTAGTCTACCATTGAAAACAAAATCTGGGGGTCATCATGGAGAAAGAGACAGAATGAGCTGGGGGATGGGAAGCAGTCCTGTGAAATGCTGCCTCCAGGATATATTATATAATATATATGTATATATTATATAATATATAATCATGAATACAGCAAGTAAGCCCAGTAACCTTCAGGAAACCAGCACAAAAAGAAGACATTGGGCTGAAGAGACGGTTCAGCAGTTAAGAGCACACTGCCTTCTCTTGAAGAGGTCCTGGGTTTGGTTCTCAGCACCCACAAGGCAGACCACAACCCTCTGTAACTCCAGTTTCAGAAGATCTGATGCCTTTTTCTGGCCTCCCTGGGCACCAGGCACATACATGATGCACACACACACACCTACAGGCAAAACACCTATGCAGAGAAAATAAAATGTAATTTTAGAAGTTT